CTTTTTGCTTTCCGTATAAGTGGCGTTGCTAGTCGGGATGAGTGACAGCGGCGATGGTGCCGGAGTCGGCCCGTGCGAACTCGGAGCATTGTATGCGAAGCCGGGTTGTGCCAATTCTGCCGCATAAGGTGGTGATGCCTGGTTCGAAGCCGGAGGCGAGGGCAACGCCATTGGCAATTGCAATGATGATGCTGGTGGGAGAATCGGCGCAGGTCGGCTCTGCACTGGTGGCGGGCGTGTGGCCCGGTCGAAGAAAGAAGCATATTTGCCCAGCAATGATTGCCACTTTGACCAGTCGTCAACGTCGGTGAAGAGGTTGTACTTCATGTTGCTGAGGAATTCCACCTCCATGATGTGGACCTCCGCAACGTTGATTCCAGAGACTTCGGCCCAAGTTTTGTTCGTATATGTGTTGTCGTCCAGGAATTTGTTGCCCAACATCAGAGCGACTGTCAACAACCTGTATTCGCTCCCAGGCTTTCCTTTGACCGCCGGGTTGAGCTTCTTCAAACGATAAACAAATAGCAGAGCCAGGAGAACCACATTCTGGGCGACGAGCGTTGTTGACAGAATGGTAGTGACCCATTTGCGGAAGCCGGTCGTTGGAGTTGCGTCCTTGCACAGTTTCCTGGATGGTTGGAGCGTGATTGGCGAATTTTCGATCTCTTCGAGCAGATCTGATGATTCGAACCAGAAAAGACATGTGATCTAATACATTGTTAGTATTGTTGGCTTCAAGACCTCAAGACCTCAAACTCTCCAACTCACCTCTGCAGCAAGCTCGGATAGGCTTCCACCACTGTCGTTCACAGATTTGGGAATCTGGAATGAAGGAGCAATTGAACTGTCGTTTGTCTTTTGTGCCCTTGAGTGAGCATCGTTTGCTGTCTCAATAGCAGGAAGCCGTGATTGCACGCCCGGGCTGACTTTTGCACTTCTGACTGAATCCACCACACGATTGTCTCCGGAGGCCACATAGGGTGGGTACTGGGCTACGGGAGCTCTGTACGTGGAACGTGCTGGCATGTGCGAACTGTAGTGATGTTGTCCATGCTCTTGGTGGCTGACATGTTGAGTGGCGTGGCTGACGTTGTTCATGTCAGGCGGAGGAGTGAGGGCTCGGTTGAGGGCCTGGTTGCTGGTGTAGGAAGCCCAGTTTGCTCGCGATTGACCCCAGCTGTGTGGTTCGCGGTTGATGCTGCTGTCTCTGGCGGCGAAAGGGTCCCGGAACTGAATGGCGGCGTTGGCATACATTGGGTGCGGCGGGTGTATGCTGGTTATGAGGGAGAGGCGGGAGGTAGTGAGTTGAAGGTAGCTGTCCGGCCAGTCATGTGAGGCCGGAGTTTGATGCGGTGCAGCGCAATGATGGCGGTAGCGTGCGTGGAGACTCTGGAGTGGCAAGGT